CCCCCCCGCCTCGTCCGCCCGCATGTAACGGATGGGGTCGGGGCCCTTCTCCGGCTGCCCCAGGCCGGCGAATGCTGACATATCGATGCCGGTGCCCGGGGGGCCAGGAGGACCGGGAGGACCTGGGTTTCCGGGAGGACCCTATGGGAGGAAGACGCCACCGTCCTGATGAGCTGCTCTTTGAGGTGAATCCCCTCCTTTTCTGCGACCATCGCTGTCTTTACTCACTGCAGGGCCGGGTTCGCCACTTCGGCCACGGGGACCGGGGGGACCGATGGGGCCGGGCATGCCATTGGAGCCGTCTTTGCCAGAGGGGCCAACAGGGCCGGGGGGACCCTAAGAGAGGACCCCGAAAGTGGGGTCAGGTCATTGCAGGACCCCAAAGCAGTGGAGGTGCTGAGGAGTGCAACCCGGGCATGCTTGGGGATGAAGGAGCCTCCTCCTCCTCTCATGTCCCCAAATGCTGCAGTCAGGACTTACCCTGGGACCGGAGGGACCTGCGGGGCCGGCAGCGCCTTGGTCTCCAGAAGGGCCCTGAGGAGGAAGCGAGGGTGGGCGGTCACAGCTCTGCATTCGGCACCCAGGGATGCACAGCCCTCGCGGAGCCTTCGCTCGCGTTTGGGGCCTCCTCCATGGCCGTGGCCGCCCCGATGGAGCCACATCCAGCTCCGTGGTGACACAGTGGGGGGCTCAGCGCTGGAGCCTCAAAAACGACACTTACAGGTGGGCCGGGGAGCCCCTGCAGCCCGGTGAAGCCTCGGTGGCCCTTCAGCCCCCTCTCTCCAGCCTCTCCTGTCTCACCCTTGTCACCGCGTGGCCCTTGGGGACCCTGGATGGGGAGAAGGGGACATTTCAGGCTCAGGGGTGCAGACCCTCGCCCAATGTACCCCAGGGCCCTGTGCATCACACGTGGGGCGCCCCAACGGGCTCGGCGTCACTCACCGGCATCCCTCGAGCGCCAGCGGGACCGGAGGGACCCATGGGACCTTGTGCACCCTGGGGAGAGAAAAGAGAGGAGTCAGAAGGGGTGGGAGCATGGGATGCTGGGGGGTGCCCAGTGCCTTTGGCGGGTCCAAACCAGCCCTGCTGCCCTGGGAATCGGCATCTCTAAATACTCTGAAATGAAGCATCGACGCCAAGTAACGATCATTGCAAATTAATGCCCATGTAGATTCTCCCAGGGCAGAGCTTGTGCATAGCAGAGCCCAAACCGGGCTCTTGGTGCTCATGAATCCTCAGGACGATGCTCGGAGCCGCTAACGGCACCGCTTGGCTCTCCCAATTCCTCTGAGTTAATTACTCTCCGCAGGCCACTGCTATTTCTTCATTTATCTGCGCTCGGGGTGGATCCCATCTCCCAGAATGAGACCTCAAAGCCCTCGGCACTCACCGTCTCGCCTCTGTCTCCTTGTTTGCCGGTGGGACCCACGGGGCCGGGGGCACCGGGGGCACCGGGAGCGCCGGGAGCACCCACGGGCCCTGTCTCGCCACGATCACCCTGCGCCAAGACAAAGATGATGTCAAACCCCTGGGATTTTGGGGAGGGATAAGAGGATACACGGACAGCAAACATGGGGGTAAACTCACCTTCACGCCGGCTGCGCCGTCTCTGCCCGGGGGCCCATCAGAGCCGGGGTTACCCTAGGAGGAGAAGAGGAGAAATGAATCCTTGATGGAGAAAGACGCACACAAACTCCCCTTTCAAAGCAAAAAACCAGTGGCTAAAAAGCTGCCGGCGCTCGCCAGGAGCTGAGATTTGGGGCCGCAGGATCCGTGATGTCCGGCGCCGCCGTTGGGGTCACACCGGGAGGGTCCCGAATGGAGGCGCCGTTGTCCCCCTTCACCCCCGCCCCGCGGTGCCGCTCACCTCGCGCCCAGGTTCACCAGCGGGACCCGTCAGCCCGGGGGGGCCCACGGGGCCGGGGGGGCCGCGGTCGCCTGCAGAGCCGGGTGCTCCTTGTTTCCCAGGTTCGCCCTAAAGAGGAGGGGGGAATAAATCCATGAGACAACAGGAGAGACCCCAGCGCAGCCCCTCACCCTGCAATCGCCCCATTTTAAAGCTGCCAGACCCCTCTGCCCAAATACCCATGGGTTATCGCCCCGTCCCGATGCCGCTGGCTCCAGCAGCTCCTGGGAGCTTTGTGAAACCCCAAACTGCACCCAGAATTGGGGTCCCTGGGGTG